GAATGTTCGATTTTGAGTTTTTTTTACTGATTTTCGAGTGATTTTAAAACCGTAACTTTAAACGAGCGTAGGAGACTCAATACTTGATGGTTTTCGTTGATTTTTGTTTCTATGGTTAAGAAAAATCATTTTCTAGAGTTTTTGAAAAAAGAATCATCAAAAACGATGAAGAAACAAGGGCTAGGGGCCGTTTTCTGGTCGCCGGTGTTGTTGGGGAGTGTAGGAGCCATATGGGCTTGATGTGGCCATCTGGGCCATTTTGTTTGGGCTTCACTTGTATTATGGTTTGTTTTATTTTTTTTGGGCTTAAGATTTAGTCCATGTAACATCTTGGGTATATTTGGGTAATTAATTTAACAATGYCAAATTTAACCAATTAGTATATTATTCCATTTTATTATATAGTATAAGTTATATTGTTTAATTAATTTATAAAAAAAATATTATGTTATTTAACTAACATATTAATTTATTTTAAAGAATTAATAGTGATTAATTAATCTTTTCCTAAGTGGTTTATTAAATTGATTAGTAATTTAATAAATATTCTCTTAGTTGTCGGAATTTTATTTTATCAGTTGTCTAAGACATCTTAATATGAAACATAGGTTTCATTTAGTTGTTAAAAGGATAATCAACGTTAAGAGTTGTTATCAAACATAGTACTGAGAGGTGTCTTAAATTATTTTGATGATTTAATATTGAGATTTAAGTGTCATATTTCCGAGTTAATCAATTATAGTGACGCTTTAAATTGGAGAGTTTGATTTATAAGATCATAAAATGTTTATTTTGATGTTTTAAGACGTTGTCGAGTTTTAGTCATGGGGTTTGACTAAAGTTAGTCGGGGTTGACCGAGTTGACCAAGGGTTGACTTTTGACATGTTTGACCCATGTGGATTTTAATGATGGATCAAATAGAGTTGTCTGAGGCATATTAAGATGCTCARRTATGAAGTTTGACTTTAGGTTGGGTCAGAATGACAATAGTTRACTTTTTGAGAAATTAAGACGTTAATGAGATATTATGGTATGAAATGTGTAGGCATTTGATCAAGAGCTATCGGTAATCAATCTATACGCAATCAGGTGAGTCTTCATGAGACTTACAATGGGATGCATAACTAAGTACAAATTATTTTTGCATGATATGAATTGTTGATGATGTGTACATATGCATGATATTTCAATTACATACATGTTATTTTGTGAATGGTTACATGCTATGTGTTTAATAAGTTTTCGAATAACTCTAGCATCTATTCCATATTAAAGTTTTATGATCAGTTTTAGCGGGTGAGCWTTTGACCAAGAAGTCACATGACAAGTGRCACAACCCCGTAATGAGTGTCTAGACAGGTGCAGGTCGGACAACTCAGGGAATGCCAGTGACTAAATGAMTCATACCCGACRGACAATTTATGAGATCTMTTTTCTTTCAGTGTTGCATGTTTTTCAGAAAATGCATATTATTTGGTACAAAGTTTACAAGTTGAAATGTATGATGTGCAATGATCTTTACTCACRCAAACCATGAACTCACTGAGCTTTATAAGCTGACTRTAGTATGCATCTCAGGAACAWAAGGTTTCAGGTTGGACAAAGAAAAAGAAGAGCATACATAGAGACTTGTCTAGTCCATTTAAGTTCAATATTTAGGCGCAATCGTCTATGATATATAAATTTGTAAAGCAACCCGGTATGGGACGGACTGACATTAAGTTATATATTTATTCTTTTAAAGTCTTCCGCTGTAAACGGTCTAAAGATTTAATTTAACCATTATTTTTGGAGTGTTTTTGGAGAATCTGTTTTAGATTACGTAACATTTCTCATGGTAAAAATATGGGTGTTACTATATATATATATATATATATAATATTAAAAGAACACTCAATAATGATAAGTTAGATTCATATATCAAAGGTAATGTTGATTCTTATTAGTTTAATATATAAATGTGATCATCGACTCACTTAACTAATTTCAATAAATTTTTTAAAAATTTATCGTCATTGCGCAAGGCACGATGTCAAATACTAGTTTAAATAATAAAGGTTACCGTATGTCATGTAACATTAACAATTTTGACAAATAAACAGTCACTGTACGTCACTTCACAGTGATTGTTTTGACAAATAAACATAACTATACTTCACTCTATAGTGACCATTTTTTGAAAAATAAACATCACTATAAGTCATACTATGGTGACGGTTTTGAGTAATAAAGTCACATTATGCCACTTTACAGTGATACTTTTTAATAAGTAAACATCACCATACATCCTACTAAGGTAACAATTTTGAAAAATAAACGTCATCGTACGTCCTACTATGGTAATGGTTCGAAAAAATAAATGTCACAATATGTCATACTATTGTGACGATTTTAAATAATAGATATCACTATATATCGTGTTACAGTGACGATTTTGAGAAATAAACGTCATTTTTATGTCATGCTCCAGTGACAATTTCTGAATGTAAAGGTCAGCTTAGGTCATGCTATGGTGACGGTTCTTAAATAAGCGTCATCGTATGTATGTTACAATGATGGCTTTTGAATAGAAACGTCAACCTATGTCATGTTACAGTGACTAATTCGAGAAATAAACGTCAACATACATCATGTTATAGATTTTGGATAATGAATGTCACTGTATATCATGCTATGATAGCGGTTTTTAGAAATAAACGACAATGTATGTCTTGCAATGGTCATGATTTTGAAAAATAAACGTCACCATATGTCATGCTATGGTGACAGTTTTTTAGTATAAACGTCAAAACATATCATTTACGATGATGATTTTAATAAATTAATGTTACCGTATGTCATGTTACGTTGACGGTTTCAAAAACTAAATGTCACTCTATGTTATGCTGCGACAACAATTTTAGGAAAAAAAAAAGTGACTTTCTTGTACACTGAAGATGATGGTTTTAGCCTATGGTAATGGTTTTTGATGTGATTTGGTAACGTTTTTAAAATGTAACCAAGAGTATATCAAAGTGACGGTAGATACCGTAACGATTTTTATTTCCACAAAAACAGTTACCATATACCTACACTGACGATTTTCAATCGTCACTTAAAAGACCATTTTTGTACTAGTGTAGAAGTGCATTGGAATCTCTGCCATAACTTGGGAGTGATACGGATTCTGACTTTTTGAAGTCAAAAGATAGAGAAGAGAGAGATTTCTACTTCTGTTGATTTTAAAATCTTGAGCTTGCTCATGATTGTATCAAGTACAAAACAAGGAGGTGAGAGTCATATGATGCAGGTTTTTGGAATTTTTTTACAAGCACAGTTAGATTTTCCAAACAATTAGGTAAAAACATCCAAAAATTTGTATAATATTTCAATATTATTAAAAACTTCATCATGCACTTTAAAATCATTTATAGAGAGTTTCATCTTTGTTGTATGAAAACAATTCATGATATTCCTAGCATTCATATCCACTTCAACTTGCTTCTTGTCATGAAAATTTGGACCATTTTTGAAAACATCTAGGATTTGGTTGTCAACTATCACTCAGAAGTTCTTTCAAAATGGGTTAGTAACAATGTATGACAATGGTGCCTTTTTGTAGTCACCATTGCATTAAATTATACTATCCAACTTTAACGCGTGTTTTCATCTGATTTGCTAATTCATGCATGTTTGTACTCTTCACTTCAGCATTTGTTGTTGATGTAGACATTTGTTAACTTATCCCGTATTTTTTTTATGCAGAGGGAACAGTAAAGAAAATATGACACTAATATAATAGTGTTTTAGAACTTATTGTGGGTGACATGTTGAGCATGTTCCATATCAGGATAAGTGTTGGTAGGGTTGGGAGTCAAACTTACTGGACAAGTTTGCATTTCAAAATCCGGCTTGCCAGTATTACTATTTGTCTTTATTTTGTATTGATCTTCATTCGGCTAGATGACAAACCAGTCCGCTTAATTCAGTGACGATCTTGACTTTGGCTCAACTAGTTTTCGATTTTGTTGATGGTTTTTTGTTATTGGGTCAATACTGATAGTTACAAAGAAAAATCCTTATATGAGGTAAGTTCTTTGTCAGGATTTAGCTGTTAGTATGGATTTGGCTAAGTTGTTGTTCGGTTATAGTGCAAACACACAATCTGAATGACAAAAACGAATATTTTACCCCTTTAATTTATTTTTAGACACTAATTAAAATAAATAAATATATTGAATGGTTGATTTTGAATGATAAAAAATATGGAACACTCAAATTCGTTCATGCATGAAGACAAAGAACCCTCAAAATTCGTTCATGAGGTTATGGAAAACTTTACGTTGTATAATTGAATGGAAGTCCAATCTTTGTTTAGGGATGGTGCCAGGCGGAGTTATAATCGTCGTATAGAAGTTATTGGAAAACCACCAATAACACGAAAAAATCGAACGGTTTAACAATGGTTTTTCAGGTAAAAAATAAAAAAAAACTGAATAATTTTAAATTATTTGGTGGTCGATAACCAGTCACTAAATGTTCTCAATTTTCAATAGATTATCAACGGTTTTCCTTTTTCCTAACAACATGTAATTTGAAATAAATATTTGTTAATAAATCGTCTATAACTTATCAAGCTTTCCAATGGTTTACCCGTGGTATTCTAAAAAATAAAATGAAGGGTTAAATGGCAGTCGATGAACCATTAGTAATTTATATCTAAACACGTACTTTCGATGGTTTATCATAATTATAGTCGCAAAATACACAGACGGTTAATCCATGGTTCCTTTTCCACATCCATTCATCAATGAACTATTTTACAATTTCGAGTTTACCTATTAATCGACATTCGCTCGTTAAACCATCGGTAATTGGCTGACGGTGTGGTCGTTGATGATACTCGGTTTTTTTAGTGTCAAAATTTATGATATTTTATATAAAAAAAATCACACCTCTTTTCACGACAAAAATTGGTAAGGGAAAGACTCCGTCACCAACGACAATCACCAAGAATAAATGGGAAGAAACAGAAATTCTTATTGATATATTCTTGTTGGTAGGCAGATAATGATTGTATTAACAACTTATGCCTATCAACCATTTCAAAATCATATTTACATCATCAATTGATTGCGTTACAAACCCTACGAATTTCTCCTTGAGTCCCCGTCTTCAACTCAATATTACCCATCCTAACCATTGATCTCCCGAACTCCACGTTGAACGTCAATCCAAGCAGTCCCCTAACTCCAAGAAATCGTTGCACAAACCTTTGTGTTGTTGGATCTCTCCATAACACTGCATCGGATTCAAGTACTCCCCGCCCACTCCTCAAGTTTGCGTAGTACGAATTGTCGAAGTTGTTTACGCTCCCTGTATCTAGGCCCACACGCCTTGCATTATCACCACCATCGGGGCACAGGGTTCGGAGCTGTGGAAGGAATGCTTGGTCAATAGCCGGGTCAGGTCCGTTGGTGTTGTTGAAGTTGTATAGCCTGTACCTGAATAATACACAGGCTGCTGTTCCAATTGTATGTGCTCCTGATTTCAATCAAAGCCATAAATGTGTCAGCTGATCTTTTTGTTAATTAGTGGTTGTGTTCCATTGGTTGAACCATTTCCATGTACATAGAGGATTTGTGTAGTTCTGTGTGTTCAACTTACCAGAAAGGGCAACAAGATCTTGGGTGTTAAGATTTTTGGCCGTAAACTTGCTGATTTGGACACTAACGGGGTCATTGAAAGCAGGCAAATTTGCAGCATCAGAATTCTGTGAAACTAATCCGTCTCGGCGGCCTGTTGGCACTGCCCAACCCGTTCCACCTGTCTGCACAATGTTGAAAATTTCGTATAACTACAAGGTTTAAGCCAGCAAGGTACACCTTCTTATTCCATCATGAAAGGTGCATTCAGAAATTTCACAACGTTTCAAAAAGTGTATAAGTTTCGAAACATGCAATCAGTGATAGGTTTATTATCCAAAACAAGAAATCAGACAAGATTTGCTGGCACCTTCCGCATGATGGAAATAACTAACAAGCTGAGAATTAATATACCTGGACCACCGAATCACGTGCAGCAAGCGCAAGAATGTCAGCACACGAGACCACCCCAGGACAGGTGGTTTCGAGCTGCCTCTTTGCAGCATCGATGACGTCAAATCCTCTCAGCTGGGAATTGGGCAGAGCGGTTTTCTCGGAAGTAGGACCATCAATTAGTATGGAGCCATCGCAGCCATTAACAAAGCAATCATGAAAGAACATTCTTAGTAAACCAGGTGCAATTGTTGGATCGGAGCGGACAGCAGACTGGACAGCAGCCTGCACGATGGTTTCCACCCTTGGGCATGTGGTCTGGTAGAACCCAACTCGTGTGCCTTGGCCTAGTGCCATGGTGATGAAGGTGGCTAACAAGACAACAAACAAGATGGGTGTTTTACTATGGGGAAAAACCTCCATAACTAGAAAGATTTGTGTGTGGTTTTAAGTGTAGTATTGGATTAGGTTGCAAATGATGTGAGGGAGAGAAGCAAAGGAGAAGGTATTTTATAGTGATTGGAGATGAGGGTGGTGTAGGGGAAGTCAAACATGGTGGTGGTGACACAAGTAAACAAAGTCGGCCACCGTGGAGGGATATGGAAAGGTTGATTGAAACTTGATCATGATATCCCTTGCTAAACTGGCAAAAATTGATGTTGGGTTTTATAATATATGAAATAGAATATTATAAGGCATGTAAACGGTTGATTTGTATGCTAATTAATTAACTATTGATTCAAAAAAAGGTGAGTTGTGCAACCTTGTGAAAAGAGGAAGCCTGAGGGTGAATCAAGTATGTTGTTGACACTCAAATTCAAACAATCTACAACTATATGTTGTTGAATCAAGTAATTTGTGATAAGCAATAGCATTGAATCCAAGGAAACAATGGATTAATAGCACAAGAGAGTAATAGTGATTTGTTGGGTTTAACTAGATTACAAGCAACGCCACCACGCTCGTTCTTGACATTTTATAGGCCTTAGGCGAATGTAAATACAGGACCCACTAGAAGAAACAAGGCTTTTAACAACGGTTTTTGTCGTCGCTAAAAGTTCATTTATCATTAGAAAGATTATATATAACAATAACATTTCGTCGCAATAACTTGTGGCAGAAACATGTCATCGCTAAAAGACGCATCATTGTCAAAGCTTACTTTTTCTTGTAGTGACCCTCGAGAACTATGAAAAAAATTCAATAAATGTTTTGTATAAAATTAAGTACAAGAATTGCTAATAATTTACTAAGAAAAGAAATTTTATTTATCTTTATTATAAATATATAAGAGAGTACTTAAATTTACGTACTTTTTATTAGGTAATTTGAAATCAAAGATATAGAAACAGTGGTTGATATTTTTTTATAAAAAAAATAAGAATATTTTTTAGTTCATAACAAGAAATATGTGTTATTTTGATTTAAAAAAAAAGAGAATTCGTATGAATGAAGTAATCGTGAGGGTCGATGATAGATCAATAATAGAGAAGATTGTCGGTTTTATAGACAAGTAGACAAATGAGGATCAATAAGAATATAAAAGAAAAGATGATCTATTGAGATTGAATAAGAATAAATAATGAATTAAACATATAATATGCAAGCTCAACAAATGGTTGTTTGAGTACTTGAATAGAATCTTGTGGTGTGGTGTAATTCAACGAAATATACATAAGTCAAACAATGTTCTTTTTCTTCTTATTTTTGCTCAACTAAAATAATATGTAAAGATTAAAAGTTTATAGAACATAACATATATAAAGAGAAAATCACTTAACACATCTACTAAGGAAAATTTATTGCTTAATCAGAAAACCATGAAACACATCATAAATCATAATAACAATAGATTGATCGTTAAACGATAGTAAAATGTTTTCTGTAGAAGCAAAAAAGAGTTAACAATAGTCAACAAAAACAATTAGAACAACATAACCAAATAACAATAATCAATAGAATCAGAAATAGATAAACATATCCAACAAAACTATATAGCAATAGCAATCACATGATCTTAAGTTCTTAACGTTGAATTGTTGAAGTACAGAACAGTCGAGCATATAAAGAAAGCAATAACCAATGTCATTGGACCTTACTGGAGATAAAAAGAAAATTAGATAGGCAATAAACAATATCATACAATGAATGACAATTTTTTTTCTCTAATATAATTAGTTGATATGTTTTTGGGTTCTTATTATCTACTAAATTCATTTTACCTCTTATTATATGCTATAACTTTTTGGGTTTCTTTAATTTATTAAAAAAAGTTAGACTACTCATGTATGTTAAGGGAAAAATGTGTGCCCCTGATATTTTTGGGTCCTGGACGTATGCCCGTACTACCCTCCTCCAGAGATGGCCCTGAACACCACGATAAACAAATAGTTAGGGATCGAAAAAAAAAGTACAAGTCAATCAATACGATTAAAAGGTATATACAAGTGAGTCATTTTGATTCCACGTTGAGTCTAACTTCTCCATATTTCATTAGCAAAAGCTATTAGTTGCAACTTGCAAGTGACATGCCCAATTTTACTTTATACTTCTTCTCAAGCAGTTGCACAATTATTTCTTGTAAAATACTTTAAAATTTTTAGAATAACATACAAAATCCAAAATCAGGGACGGATCCAAGAATTTTTGGATACGATAGCATCATATAAAACGGTTGCACCTTCTAGAATAAAACAGTTGCACCTTTCACGAATCTAATTTTTTTTTACCTTACCACGGAGAAACAATACGGTGGCACGTGCCACCTAACCACCCCTCTAGGTCCGTCTATGCCCAAAACTCGGTAAGTATAAGAATGCTTAAAACATAACTAAGACTTAGGGGCCGTTTACTAACGTTCACCTACCAAGTCACTTTACTTTATCGAATGAACATGATAAAAATTGAGAATCTTATCCGGTAAGAGCAGAAAGACAAAAAGTCTTATCTGGTAAGTGAGAGTGACGACTCTTACCCGATAAGCGCTCACAGGATAAAAAGGTTCCATACAATGCCCTTTTAATGGAGTAAAATCTTACCCGATAATTTAAGTTAAAGTGTTGACTCTTACAAATATGCGCTTATCAGGTAAGAATTTGGTAAACGACCCCTTACTTTATATATTCGTATCCACTATTTCGTCATACGTCTAAATATCATATATCGAGCTGTAAGTACCTTTTCCTAAAAGAAAGCACAACCCAAAAATCATTACAGAGTGATCAAATCAAGAAGAACATAAAGAATAAGATATGTAAAGACAACCAATTTACAAGCCTTCAAATATACCTTATTACATAAATGCTAAACTCATGTCGTACACAAATTCAAATATCATATATTTTTTAAAACTTCTTAACTAATTCATGATTTTATCCACACAATTTTTGCAATCAACTTAACTCTATATATGTATGTATATATAGTTTCAAATACAATTTAAATATGACAATTTTACAAACCATATAAATCAATAGCCATTAATAGATATTTGATTTATAAATATCTTGATTATTTTATAATAATTAGCCATTATCTTATATAATGAATCTTATCATCTTCCACAAATATCTCAAGTGTTTTCTATTATAAGTGTTGAACATAGATTGTCTGGTTTGTATTATATATATATAAGGGCCTAATTGAATAGGTACTAATTAGTTTGTGGTAACTGTGAGATCCAATCTCAACCACAAGTCAATAGACAAATTAGAAAATTTATAATTTTGGTAATTTTGAATTAAAATTTTAATACAAAAACATTTTAGGTATTTTCTCTCCTCTCACCTCTCTTCTCTCTCCGTCCCCCATCCCCCATCCTTCGTCCTCCGGCCACCAATACCGCAGTTGTATCACAATGTATCTTATATGTGCTTGAGTATCACACCGATGTCATTTATGTGGTCGATCGGAGATGTAACAATGTGATATCTCAAATGCATCTTATGTGCTTGGGTATCACACTGTGTCTTTTATTTAACAGAGTCAATATTTTAGGTACCACAATGGTATCACCGGTGGACGGTGCCCGGAGGACGATGGCCGGAGGACGGGGGACGGAAAGAGAAGAGAGGAGAGATGGGAGAAAATATTTAAAATGTCTTTACATTAAAAATTTAATTCAAAATTATCAAAATTATAAATTTCATAATTTATCTATTGATTTGTGGTTGAAATTGAATCTCACGGTTACCACAAACTATTCAGTTCTCCCTTGAAAAGAGCCATATATATATATATATATATATATATATATTTGTAACTTTTGTCTTGGTTAATTTACAAATGTATTTCCTTTGTTTTTATAAAAGAGATTAAATTTTTTATTTAATTACATATTAAATAAAAGTTGTGTAATTTAGAATGGATATGAATATAGCAGCCATGCATAAAGATTTGTCTACGTTGTCCACATCAAACAACCAAACAATAATCGTTTTTAGCACATTTTCAAACGGTGGACTTTTCATTGTGCAAGTTTATATAAAAACAAACTACTATTCAATTCATGATTTTTAAATATCATATATAGAGACAGATGTGGTATCATTCGAAAAGTCGGTAAATCTATAAAAAGGTGTAAAATTTCAAGATCACGTGTGATTATAGAGCAAAATTACATGTAATACAACACGTCTAAAAATGACTCAAACAACTTGGTCAGTGCGACCAGAGTCGGAAAAGTCGTCCACTCTATGACCGGCCAACACAACAAACTTGTATCATATGTGATTATTATGTGTTTGTATCACATGTGATTCCACTTGATTTTGGAACTTCTCGTTTTCTAGCAAATTAACCATCTTCTTATTCTTTTTCCTGGCTATTGTTCTCGTATGAACCTAACTACACACATACACACACACACACACATATATACATATATATGAGATCATGTGAGACCAAACTGTTTTTATGAGACCACTTTTTTATACTTGAAACTTCACAGTAAAACATTTTAAAGATAATGAGACCAACATATTTTCGTGAGACCTTCACAGTGTTTTTGTTGTGAAGGTTCAGATATCTTTTACCTTCACAATATTTTGCTGTGAAGTTTCAAATATAAAAATGTGGTCTCATGAGTCTCACAAAAATAGGTTGGTCTCACGTGAACCCAACCCTACATATATAGCACATAAGGCTTGATCGTTTAAGAACTCTAAAATTTTTGAGGTTATAAGATTCATTCTAAACCACTTATTCAAGATAATTATAGTTTTTAATTAATGAGATAATTAAAGGGATAATTATTGTTATTTATTACATAAAAATTAATGCATATTAGAAAATTTCATACATAAACCCCTCCCCCCCCCTTCTCACTTCCCCTTTCCTATATTTGTATTAACATACATACATGCATAATTAAATATATACATAAGGTAAACAAATTGTGAATACAACTTAAACAACCTTAATAAATTTTTACTAGGGTGTTCAAAATTGTTCACAAATTGCATGTTTATAT